AAATTCCAGCCAATAAAATTTCTCACATATATTTACAAACCTTCCTCCCCCCCCCCCCCCCCCCGCCGCATCAACATCTTTTCGAAACGCCACCATTTCAGGTGGAAGCACTAGAGGAGCCCGTAAGAGGACCAGCGTGGGCGCTTTTGAACGAGACCTACAGAAATGTGGAGGTACAGCAGCATTGTATTGTATTGTATTGTCTTGTACGAAAAAAGCGCATCGTTTCTTGATACCATGGGCACGCCGGGTGATTCGTGATAATCCATGGTCGCGATGTTCCAAGCCCGATATTTTGGCAACCACGGGACCGCAGCATCAGGCGCATCGTCTTGGGAAATATGTCTTGAGAGATGATTCCCGTCGCAGCCCTCTTCGCGTACTCAAGTTTCGCCCTTGCGGGTGGCGAATAAGGAAGCTTAAGCTTGGGAAATCGGTCGTAGGGGGGCGGTGATATAGCATACCATGCAGCATTACGGCGGTATTATTGGTGCATTATTTACCCGTGGAAATTTCCGAGAACGTTGCCCACTCGGGAATGTGGCTACCGGATCGCTGGGTACGCGCGGGCCTGCCTACGTGCCTGCCAGCACCGAGAGCTATCATTGAATTGGCGAGCGCATGGGCGTGTCATGGTGTTTGGCTTATGGCACACCGATCTACATGACGCCGTCTTCGTTTTTGGATGTTGGGTTCATCCAGTGACTGCCTCCCTTTGTTGGTAAAGACGGTCAGGCATGCCTACTGCCTCCCTGCGTGCTCTTTCCGCTCCACCGGTGACGCCGGCCGTGTGCCGTGCTGCTGCTGCTGCTGCTGTGGCGCGCCCCTTTTCTATTCGACGCAGGCGCGGAGCCTCGAGCTGGTCGAGTCCGATTGGGATTTCGCCGCCATCATCACCAAGCAGCTTGGTGGGTGCTCCGCATACGGGCTCTGTTTGCGGTGGCCACGTGGTATTTGCGGTCAGCGTGCAGAGCACGTGTAGCACCGAATTGGTGCCAATATTTTTGCATTTTCTGTAGTCGTCTTTTTGCGTTGTCTGTTTGCTGTGTGCGGCTCAACAAGAGTTGCGCGTGCGTGTTGGAAAGTCCGTTGTATTTTTTTGCCGTGGCTCGTTCCCGCGACCCGTGAGTTTTGTTGTCGTGGCGGTGTAAGGATTGGTGAGAAGGTTTGCGTACGGCCAAGTGCGGCAAGGCGACGTCAAGGAGCTGCTAAGTGGTAGTTTTTCGGGAGTTTTCACGGTCCTGGCAAAGGAGTGCCGGATCACTTGTCCCTCTCCGCCACTCCTCCTTTTCGTGTCGCGCTGCAGCTGTTTGGTTTGTGTTGGTTTCGCCATGCAAGCCACACACCTTTTGAAAGAAAATGAAATGTGTTTCTGCGCAGATGGGGACAGACTGCCGCCGATCCCCAAGAGACTCTCTCGACGTCTTTCTTACCATGCGTGATGGTAACGGTTTTGAGCGATGAACGGTTGAGTGTGCTCGCGGGCCCTACCTCCCTCCCGCCCTCGCCTCTGTCAAGCTTCGCCGAATAAAGTTCTTCGAAGCACTTGTTGGAAGAAGAAGAACAAGAACAGAAGCTGTAGCTTCCTTTTCCGGCCACACCGCCGTCTCGAAGTCGTCCTTGGTCCGGACGTATTGATTGGCTGTAGAGTACCGTAGTAACCCCCCCCCACCCGCCCACCGATGCGCAACCCATGACATCAACTTTAACGTCGACTACGACGAGCAGCAAGTAATCTCCCCGCCAAAATATCGTGTTCGTTAAATTTTCCGTAAATTTTGTAGCGGAATGGAAGCGTCGGGGTGTGGGCAATAGCTACCAGGAGGCGCTGCTGAAGGAGGTTATTGAGCTCCAGACGAGGGCGCTGCTGCGGCCCATCTCTCTGCCCGCGGAGGAGGTGAGAACATACCGTACCGTACCGTATGGAAATGTGGAGTTAATACCGTAGTTGGTCTCCAGATGAGGGTGCTGCTGCGGCCCATCTCTCTGCCCGTGGGTGACAAACTACCGTACCGTGTGGAAATGTGGAATTACACCGTACTAGAGCTCCAGCCGAGGGCACTGCTGCGGCCCATCTCTCTCCCCGCGGAGGAGGTGAGAAACTACCGCCGTACCATGTGGAAATATGGAAATACGGAAATATGGAATCATATCATGGTCGTGCCGGCGTGATCGCACCCCCGCCTGGACCGACTTTTCGTAGCTCGATCGATTTATCCACGACCAAGAGGGTACAGCAGGTGCGAAGATCGGCCGTTATGTCTAAGGAAAGAGACCTCTCGACGAGACCTTTATATTCCCAAGACCACCCTGTGTTTCGGCAAGGGCGACCTCTGGGTCGTGGAGCAATCGATCGAGCCGTGAGGGTCTGTGTAGGGCGGGGTGCAGTCACTCGAGCAACTACGGTATTACCAATTTCTATGACATCGCACACTTGCCTTCGGACAATGTTTTTTTGTGGTCGATTTCCTCACGAACGATAACATTTTTCAGTGATACAAGGTAGAGTTTTTTTTTTTTGTCTCCTTTTGACGCCCCCAGGTAAAACTAGGTTTCCGTGACAAAACACGAAATTGAACGCGCTCTGGTCCGCGGAGCTGCTCTTTCAAGCGCCTACCGTGCCTAGTATTCCCGATGCTTTTCTCGCGTTGTTGTACAAAGTTGGGGCCACACGCGCAAGCTCCCGTGTGATCCGGGTTGATCACCACGCCGCCGCGAGTGCAAATAGAGCGATAGCTATTGTGGCGTTAGGTTTACAACCACGGCCTACCGGCCATTCCATGTCCTACTCGCACGCCAGGAACCCGCTCTACCTTGATGTTAGTTCTG